AAATTTGTTTTTTTTGGCCAATCAACAGGGGGGGCCATGGCCCCCTTGTGCCCCCCCTTAGCTACGCCAGTGACGGCGACACATATAGTCTAATATTACCATCACAACAAAAAGAACCGACGAAAATAAATGTGTGGGGTTGCAAAGTAAGATCTGTATTATGATGGAGTAATATAAGCTACATGAATTGTATATACCCACTATACCCAATTTGTTACTAAAAAATAATCAAATCTAGCGCCTTCATGCGCGCGTATGCGTGCGTGTGTGCGCACCTGCCTGCCGTCCACGAAACTTTATTCGACTAATAAAATAAGCGGTCACGTGTAGGTGGAGGCATGCCTCACGCACGCACGCACGCACGCACGCACGCACGCACGCACGCACGCACACATATCTATACACCCACTTCAATACCGATATATATCAATTAAAAATTCAAATCAAACACGATTACACGACCTTTGTGAATGGTATAGGTGCCACAGTAAATGCAGGCAGATGCGGTCAGTCAGCGACTAGCTACTTCTACCATTATAAATCCGTGCATATTCTACTAAATATTGCAATGTATTATAGCGTGTCATTATGAAATAATGGCAGTGGTATATAATTTTAAATATTCAAGTACAGACAATAAAATACGAACATCTACTTGTGTAATCCTAGCCGATTTTGATTGTTGGACTGCAATATAAGGCACAGTTACATATATATATATATATTGATAGAATATATTTAGTATACGAAAGGTAGTTTAGTTAACACTATTTAGGTGTTTGAATCAGTTTGGTAAAAAAGTAAATCCGTTAGAAAAACCATGCATTGTAAACGGTACATTGGCAGACTATATCCCGTTTGATTTAGCTCTCCGATTTAAAAAAAATTACATATATATATATATATATATACATATATATACCACTTGAAAGTTCCACTACGGCAGCAGAAGAGAATAGCATAAATAACTCAATGCTCAAATAGCTAATAAAGGTCACCTCCTGTTGAATTTCTGTACGCCCTACTGTAGACTGCCCCGGTTAGACACACGCACGCACGCACACATTTATTTATTTACTATTGCGTGCGTGTGCGCGTGCATACATGTGCGTATGTATATGTAAGAGGTTTAAGAGGTAGAGTACGTTAGCTCACAGTTCAAATTTAACAGTGCATGGAAATAGCATTAGAAGATTAACACTCCTGTTAACCAATGTTATAAAGTCAAGCAACTGGCCATGCTAGATATAGATATATATATATATATATATTTATTTATGAGTCTTCAGCTCACACTTAGGTTTTACTATTCCATATTGACACAAATACTGTGCCATAATAGCAGTCTGGTTTTAAACCCTCATATCCTCACACAAATTTCATTCATGTGTTAGAAAAGTTTTCATTACTAAATAGTAAATAGGTGGCTCTCCACATTCAAACATATGTTCAGCCTTTTCCTTCTATATTCATGAAACCAATATTTCACGGCTGAAAAAAATAAATGTTCTTCACCGAGTTTGTCAAACCATGCATAGCAAAACACTATACCCTGCTCTATAAGTCACATAGCTCATGTACTATAGCACTCGTTGACTCTGCCACAGGCAGATGCACACTTATTGGCTTTGACATAGGCCTGTAGGAGAGCCAACAAGGGCTATAGTACTAGATCCACAAACCACCAAGAACATTTAACATCAATCAGTACACCTAATTAATAGCCATATTGATTACCTCACCCGTAATATCAAAATTCCTATTACACATTATGCTATTATTCAGCAGCATTATCATACATCCCCAATAGGTAAGCCCATATTTCACTCGAATATTTTAAGCTCCTAATATATCAAGGAATATATGACACCAGCACCAATGACAGTAACACAATTGTAAATCTTCATTTCACAAAAATGAAATGTCAGATCCGAAACCGGTTCACGCACAACCACAAGCCCATCAATATCGCTAGTCGACAAGCTCAATACCACATAAGGTGTGTGCCACGTGGCAGAAACATGCCCAACCTTCCAAACGAGTCGCACTCAATCAGCAAAATAACAGAGGTTCACAAGCGACCTATCTGCCTGACGTGATTGACGTTCTTAGAGACGATGCATGGCAAAGAAATGCCTAAAGTCGCCAATTCAGTGTCAACGCGAGAAAATCATCTGTAAACCGGGCTAGCTCGACTAACAAGATCACTTGCGAACCTCTGTTTTTTCCCGTGCGACCCTCGCCGCGCCACGTCTGGCGGCGTTCCTGGGAGGTGCCTTCGCGTCATCTAGAGACGCGCCAGCAGGCTAACCCCGTCCATCTCGAGCGGCGCCTGCAATCCCATCAGGTTGAGAATGGTCGGGGCGATGTCGCACTGCGTGGCATCCCTCGGGATGGTGCGGAACGTGCGATTGGTCCCCGTCATAACAAACGGCACTGTGTAAAACACGATAGGGTGACGTACGTCGTATGTGAATAATAACTATCTAGTCGTCTAGCACTTGATAGCTCGTAACGATTAGGATGTGTGAGATCGTAACAATTGCCAGATTATATTATATATATTTGTAATCGATGAATTAAATTAGTAATTCTTGATTAATTAATAGTTATTTCATTATCTTGTATCATTACGAAATTAATTATTACTCATTATTACTTTATTGACCATTTGGACTACTGCAGTGAATGGGTGCAGGACCGACACATAGTTCCTGCGAATGCGGTAGCAAGTGCTTTCTATCTGTGTAATTGTCTGCATGCCTACCCTTGTTGCAGGTGTGGCTTATGTCGGCCGTGAGTCGGCCGGGGGCCATGCTCTCTGCGTTGCCGTAGGTGCCGACGACCATCATCGTGTAGCCATGCATCTCGCACGCACGCATGATCACGCCTATCGCTTTGTCTGCAATCGTACAGCACGTAATTATACCACGACAACATGGTCAGAACTGTAAGTAGAAACCAAATGCGGGGAAACGGGAAAATAGGCCTTTATGGACAATTAAGTGACCATTATAGAGGTGGTTTTACTGATTAACTGCCTCTCAAGGGAAATGGCAAGTGTCCTTTATAGACACGTGGCTATGATATAGAGGTGGTATCACTATATAACTGCTACTGAATGAAAACACTAGAAATGACCTTAATGGACAGGTGCCTTTCTATAGACGTAGTTACTAACACAGGGGTTGTTGCATTACTATAGGCTAATAATTATAGACGAGTGCAGTCACATGTAGATGTATTGCATTTCCCAGAGGCAAATGATATCTACAGTTACAGAGAATGCGTGTTGTAACAGCGTTTTTGAATGCAAAAACCACATCTATCGGTAAACAAACGCATCATCATTACCCGATGCAATTGCAACTACCCACATTACACAGAAACGCGACTGCAGATGGCAGCACAATCAATAACTGGTCATAATAAGGCTCGTGATGCAAGTTTACAACTGTTGGTTGCAACTTACCGGTTTCTGCCACAGCCTCCACTGTAGCATTGAATGCACCCGTGTGGGCCACGATGTCCGGCGCACACAGGTTACACATGAGGAACGAGTAATTCCCACTAGCAACTGCCTCTTCCATCTAAAACAGAAGTAATTAAATTAGCAAACAAAATATGGCTAATCCGGCCTCTATGAGGGTTAATCAAGAGAATCCCCAAAAGTCTCCTATACAAACCGGTGGCATATCTATAGAGCCTTATAACTGCCACTCACAGGAAAAGCCCAAAGCATCCACACACAGGCGTTCATTCTATAGAGGTATCCACCACTAACAGAAATGTTACTGCATAAACGAGATGCACAAAAATCGCGGATATAATTGCTTAAGACTAAGAGTGAGAAAGGTCAAGACACGATTTCTGTCCTAAAAATGCCACCAAAAATTAAAAAAAGATTTGCCCAGAGTATAGCTTACATCCATATAGCATTTTATCCATCCTACCTCAACTGCGATCTCCATGCCGGACATTGCGGGCTTGAGGTCATACGAGGGCACTGTTGGCGAGCCAACCATCGGCAGCTTGGTTGAGGGTACCACCAAGCGGTCCTCCATCGGAAACGCGTGCTCTACTCCGCCGTTAAACCAGGTTGTCACGCTCGCAGTCTTCACAGACTCTGCAAGATCACAGTCATGTCGTTTTTATACTCTACATATACTCTTGTTACTTTCAAAACTCCCTGGTTTAAAGGTTTGGCGTGCAGACGCAAACTATGGGTAGTGCATGTGGTAAACTAGAGCAACAATGATCATCACAAATAGTGGAGTGTACACGTTAAATTTAAACAGTAATTACTGGTATAGTTAAATTAATCAAAAGATTGATTAAAATTAAATTTATCCGATCAAAAATCGTAATAATTGTCGAGCAATCATCCGGGAAACCCTTGTCACCCACCCAGCCACAACAACCTTGCCCATGCTGGCTGGCAGCTTTGCTGCCCCCCCTGTCTCCCCCTTACTACAAGCAGCTCACCTGCGCAGCGGAACTGCGCAAGGCCGTGGTTGGAGATGACCTCGGCGAGCACGTTCTTGTAGTTTACTGGTGGAAACATGACCGGGAAGTGCCAGCTCGACTTGTATGATGTCATCGTGCAGATGTTCTGAAACACGCAACCATGGGGCACACCCAGTTGATTGCAAAGCGGATTCAGGAGTGGTGGGTCCAGGGAATCCAGGGTAAAGGTGTGCATACAGCACACCATTTAAGCTAAGGTGACATAGACAGAGCTGTGTATCTCACTGATAACTAACCATACCCCCCTCAGATACTGTCATTGAGTTGGTCAGGCTAACCCAGTTTGCACCTGGTGCATTCAAAATGTAACCCATAGCAGCACGTCATTCGGAAGCGTTGCTATTAGATTGCCTTATCACAATGCTGATTGTATGGAGCCATATATCAATGAAACCAAAAGCATAGGTACATTTATCTTCTCGCGAATTACGAGAAAAAATGCTGAGTCTCATCGTGTGAGGACAAAGTATAAGCACTCGTTGTTACATACCAGGTTAGTCGGCTTGCAGTTGTATTCGAACGGACCCTTGTAAGCGAAGCACTCTACCAGCTGTTCCATCCTATCCCCTCGGTGGTTAAAGAATACAAGCGTGTCGCCATCTGTAAAAAACATGTACATATATAGTAACTAACAATTATATATATAACACAATTATTCCAATCATATATTATTATTATATATACATAAACACTAAACAGTCTCTCGAAAAGAACAAAGAAGCAGATCTGGCGAGGGAGGCCGATTCACGGCATTTTAGGACCACGCATTTGGTCGTAAATAAAGAGCTTTGTTGATTCATTTCAAAGACAAATACATTACTCAGGTTAATTAGACGAGGAGGGAATAGCATGCGATACACATCCGAGAATGCATTACCTCTAATGAGTCCATCCTTGGTGAGCATTATTGGTTGTATGAATTCATCTAGCTGCTTCTTCTCTGCCACTAAACTGTACTTTTGCTCCATCATCTGCAAAGTCAACAGAATTCACAGCTTCAGCACTAAACATGTACTGGACAATACAGCCATAGCTCAACAACTGCAACACCCAACTTACTACATTCACTGACTAATGTGAACCAAGTTACACAGATCATAAGCCTATAATGGTATTATATTATAATGAGACAAGAAAATATCGAGTCCACACTGAAGCATCTTTGCATAACTCGATCGACAGCACGACAACTGCCAATTTAGACTACACAGGCCACCACCCTGATTAATCCCAGTCACGTCTTTGCCAAGATATGACAGCGGAAAAAGTTGCATTCTCATTCTTGAAAGGCACCCCCATCCCTGATATATCCCAACCTTAGTCACATCCCTTCCACAAATTCACTCTCCCACATAGTGCTGACAATCAAATGTGCTAGAGCATAAAAATATTGGCCTCTCATGGCAAGTAACTGGATTCCTCACGGCGAAAACCATCAGAAAACGCACGGACGCCAACGAGTCATGTGTGCCAAGACGTCTTGCGCGGCGCAGACAAGCGAACGCGCTCGAGCGACAAGCGACAGCTTCGCGCGATGCCGCGTGCATTCCCTTACAGTGGCGAGCCGGTCCACGGAGCACTCATCGCTCTCTTTTCCCTCAACCAGCGCCTCGTAGGCGATCTTCGTCCTGTCCCACTGCTTGTCCCTGTCCATCGCGTAGTAACGGCCCGTCACAGACGCGAGCTGCCCGTACTTGGTCTCCTTTATGTGATTAGCCAGCACCTCCGCAAAGCCAGCTGGAAGAGCAAGAGAACGCCAGCATCATCTCGCGGTCGAGGAGGCGATTACCACACAAGGTGGAACGTTAGGTCAGGAGCAAGAGTGCGCACCACACACTGTGTACACATGTGAACTATTGTGAGTATAGAGAGCGAAATACTGTAATACATCGATGTTAACAAATAATGGTTACCAATTATAGGAGAAAGTATTAGGTAAGAATGACATCTTTTATTCACTCCCGATTTTAATCGTGTATTACATTATATCTCACGGTGTGTAATATTCTCGAGACTAGGCTAACAGATGCAATATTAGAACTGCGTCGAGTCTACTCTATTTTAGCGCTGTCTTCGCACACTTCGCATACAGAATGCATCAGGAACTTATCTGTTCAATATCTTATATATAAGTACGTTCAAGCGTGTACTGAAAGAGTAAATGCTCATGCAGAGGCCAAAAGTAAATGACGTCTCTACTCAAAACTACCTCCGCTGGTCGGAGCACTATCAATGCCATCTGAAAACATGTGAATGAACGAGTCTCGTATGCCATGCAGCCTTGCCGAATCCAATAGAACCAGTAGGTGGTTGATGTGTGAGTGAACACCTCCATCTGACACCTGAAACAGTTGATCAAGCTGTACGGGAGTGCCATTATAAGGAATTAATCGAACATCAATAGTCCAGAGTTGTACGAGTGGCAAACACAGACTAGCTGGTTGTGCGGTTGTCTCAATGATCACTGTATAAAGACTTATGAATTAGGACTGTGATGGTTACAACTACAACTAATATTAAGATGATAAGATTGCATTAATTGTCAGAAACGTATCGTAGCCATGCAGCTAAACCCATGACCAAATGACAACAGGGAACTGCTGTTATGAGATCAGTAGTTAGATGAGACATTATTCCGATGCTATAAAAAAATATTATATTATGGGACAACACAGATGCACATTCACGTGAATGATGCTAATCTAATAGAAACACTTGTAAATAATGTGCCTGTTATACTAACATATACCATCAAAGCAGGAGAATGGGCACTTTGGTGAATGTCTGTTTTGATATGCTATCCAGAATAGTGTTAATGACAAGTTTTTCAGGAAAAATGTAGGATTCAGTAAGACATCTCAAATATATACTATCACTACAATTATAATTCTGTCGTGAAATTTCATTCACTGCATTTATATTTCTCGTCACCACAGAAATTGTAAAACAGCGGTAGGCCCCTATAGGTAAAAGATTTGTGCTAGGTAGCACATTCAATCATTTAAAATATACTGCATTGATTACCAGTCCAAGAAAGTGGACTCTGCCTGAGTGCTTCTTGGCAACATCAAATGTCTTGACTAGTGCAGGGTTGTTACTCAGTGTCCTGTCTTCCACAGCAAGGTTTACCCTCAATGTATCCTAGAGTAGAAAAAGTACACATAAAATGCCAGCTAATAGGAATTTTCAATACAACTTAAGAATAACACTTGCAAAAAACCAATGTTATTTCATAAAGATTTAATTGGAGCCACATTACAATTTCTAATGGCCATTTATAAGGGCATGCAGGTATGGGACCACTATCTTATCGCCTCTAAGACTCAATCCTCTTGCATCACCTGTTTTTGAGTTGTGTTACAAATCATTTCCCAGACAGTTCATACTTTTTTTCTATTTCAACATTCCTAAATGGGCCATGTCATTGCCAAGTTCATCTCCTTTCAACTTGTTTGAAACTACTAGAATGAGGGGAACCGACAGTATGTACTTGTAGTGCATATATAGTCCTTTGCGCTACTATAGTAATCCTATTTACTAGTAAGCCGTGCACTTTCTTTAACACGTGCGCAGGAGAGTACCTGGGTGGGTATAGCTCGTAAACACCTGTGGGAGCATCGTGAGCTTAGGCGCCCGAATACAGCAATGCCAGAAATGCAGAACCTGATCAGCAACGGGAGGGAGGGGGTCAAGGTTAACATTAATGCTATCTCCCGAGACCCGTTTTACCTGATTCATCGCATGCTTGATAGACGAATTGCTACGTAGGCCTACACACTACGTGCACCATAAACTATTTCTTTTTTTGGTGGAAACCTTATCACGTATATATGCCACGTACGATGACTATATACGAGTGCAGGAATAATATAGTACTTGACTAGAAGGTTTAGTGCCAGAGGGGTGGGCACATTCGTGGAGGGGGGTGTAGGTTGGGCATGCTCTGCCCAGCTGTAACCAGCCCACTAAATTGTGGGGAGGACCTTGAAAACCAACAGATATATGCACGTATATCATGCTGCTTTCATATTATTCCTATACAAGAATGTGTCATTTGGCACAATAGAAAAATAGTTCCTGCACTTGAAATTACTGTAGGCCATGCAGTTGATAAAATTTCAGGGTTGGGGGCTGCTAGCTTAAAGAGTAATGCATGGTCACTCAAGGGAATGCCAAAAGTGGGCTCTATCCACATGTGACTATTCTATAGAGGTGGCCTATAACTGCACATACCTACCATGCACTCAAGAAACATGCCTTTATGGACAGGTGGCCGTTCTGTAGAAGTGGCCATTAACACACGTTTGACTGTATGTAACTGCATCGCATACCTGCCAGCATATTCGTCCGACACCAATGTTTAGGTGGCCAACGGTGCTGTTACTCCCCTTGCCTCTCGGAAGTCCCACAAATAAGCCAGAAGCTTCCAACTCACAGTGCTTTCCGGGAGCCATAATCTTGTCCATGCATGGTGTTTGTGCCTTGCGTATAGCATTTCCTGGGAGAACCAATTAAAGCAGAAACGTTTCAACAGCAGATACAGGGTACAGAATTATTAGCATATGGAAATACAACTATCATTTGGATGGACATGTCCACTTAATTATATTGTCTCAACTGCTGCTGCTTACTTTCTCAAAAGAACACTGCATGCAGCCAGCTCTTCTTCTTCTTAATTTCCTCACACATCTTTGCTCGGTCTTTCTTCTTCCCTCAACATTCCCTCAGCTAGTACTCGCTCTCCCGCTTTGCCTTATTCCACCTCACACCTCCCTCTCGATCCTTTGCCAATTCTTTTCATCCTCTTCATCCTCCCCCTTACACATACATTGTAAGGACTACAAATACATTGTATTAGTTTTGCAGAAACTCTTTCCTTGCTGCCGTAATATTTATGACAGACATGAACAATAACACCATTTTTGTACTGGGTGCATGGTCCCACAGGGACTTGAGGCGAAAAAAAAAGTGTTATATATATAAATAGAAGATATATTTATTCTATTTATATATATAACACTTTTTTCTTTTTTTTCGCCTCAAGTCCCTGTGCATGGTCCTGGGCTAAAGTTAGCTATAACTATAAGGTACCACTCATGCACGTACCACAACGGCACAAGTATAAAATACATTCTTCTACCCGACCAGGCTCTACGACTGTTTCACACCGTTAACTTGTAGCTAAATATATTCATGCAACAATAAAATGCATCACAAACTTGACATAAAAAACGCATAAAGCACGCACGCCCACTTTGTACGCCAAGTAACGCACGCACGCTACACAGCTCCGCATTCCATCAAAGCAGACTTCCTAGAACGCGTTACCATGAAAAGTCCACAACAGTAGCTATAAACTAATTTAACGTAATTTACCTTCTACATCGTCGGATACTCCCCATCCGTCTATTACAACCAAACACACGTTATTAACGGCCATTTTCGAGACGTCTGCGTCTTCGTGAAAATAGAAAAAAGCGAACAACAGCTAGATGCTGTTTACCTCCACAGATTGCAACAGAAATGCGGCGTGTATACGGCGGCGGCGGCGGCGGCGGCGTGGGCCGGTGGGCGAGGTGCACAGTACTACGCCGAAGCGCCGGGTGCCTAGATGCCGAGGTGCAACTTCGTGCTGTCATATGACACATATCGTTCATTCGGCAAACTTCGGGTAAAGTAGCTCGATTTAGTACTCTTGCCCTTCGCTCCGCCGCTCGCCCTGCGGCGGAGCGAAGGGCTATACCACCATAGTACCAGGAGTAAGATAATATAGATCTAGATCTAATATAGATCTATATTATCTTACTCCTGATAGTACTAGCATAGAGCTACGGGTAAAGCAGCTCATCGCACGTAATTCCGGGTCCCTGTCCCAGTTCCACTCACTTTCCACTGCACTGCTCTTCCTTATTATATAGGAGGGGGTACAGGAGGGTTGTCTTCCTCCCACCTCCCTCCCCTGTCCTCCTATCGCCCTCCCTCAACACCTCCAGGTTCCTTTATATTTTGCATTTTCTTTTTTGAATGTCACTTAATTAATTAGTTTCTCTGACAGTTTGCGTAATAAATGTATTTATCCTGTACAATGTATTTTCTCATGTATATATTTCTCGTGCTATATGGATTTCTTCTATTTTTCTCTACTTAGTATACTCTCTCTCGCGCTCTCTCTCTCTCTCTCTCTCTCCGCTCTCTCTCTCTTCTCTCTCTCTCTAACTCTCTCTCTCGTCTTCTCTCTCTCTCTCTCTCTCTCTCTTTCTCTCTCTCTCTCTCTGCCTCTCTCTCTCTCTCTCTCTCTCTCTACACTCTCTCTCTCTCTCTCTCATCTCCTCTCTCTCTCTCCTCATCTCTCTCTCTCTCTCTCTCTCTCTCGTCTCTTCTCTCTCTCGCGCGCCTCCTTCTCTCTCTCTCTCTCTCTTCTCTCTCTCTCTCTCTTCTCTCTCTCTCTCTCTCGCCGCTCTCTCTCGCCCTTCTCTCGGGCTCGTTTCTCCTTCTCTCTCTCTCTGCTCTCTCTCGTCTGCTCTCTCTCTCTCTGCCGCGCGGCAGCAGCTCTCTCTCTACATCTATTCTTTTTTTTACGCTGCTTTGGCTAATTGAAAATCCTTCCACCCCACTGCATGACAGCCTTCCAACTCCCGTCTCCCTCGCCCTTTCTCCCGTTCTCCCGCAACCCCTCCTCTCCCGTCTCCCCGCCCCCTGTACCCACTTCCTTTTAGGGAACGCCATAAAATTCTATTGAAAACCTATCCCAGGTTCCCTGTCTATTCCGTATAAGCAAAGTATAAACTTCACTTCTAATTCCCTATTAGAATATATATCAAAATAACGCATTTGCTACATGATCACTATCAATATAAGCACAATTGAATTCCGTTACTATCATTACTCCGTGACTCTTTTCGGAATCCCCAAACTATTTTGCTTCTTGATTCTATGGTTTCTCGTGTTACGTCGATAAACTTGCGTTTGCGTTTCTTTTTATCGTTACTAATCTCTATGTAAAATGTATTGCAGATCCTAAATATGTTCCCCAGGATAGCGACCGTAGTAGCATCCCTAGGATCGCGACCACAGCATAGAAGGGGAGAATATGGCACAGACCGACTACTGAGTAGCTTAGATTCGTGATGTGGATACTAATGGATTGATGGCATGAATAAATGGCCATGGATGGATGATTGGATGCATGGTTATGGTCCATTCATGGATCGGCAATGGAATGGACATGGCATCGGCCAACAAAATACTCCTTAAAGTGAATGGGCAATAAATGATACGCAACCTATAAGGTTACCATGGTTGGAAATGGTTTATGGTTTATAGTATAAATGATGGCTACCCTGGTCCCCGACATGGAGTGGGTAGTGGATGTCGATATGTGGCATGGATGATGGCTTATTGGTTCCATTGGACATGGATGGATTGGATGGCCATGATGGTATGTCGAAGATGCGATGGAATTGTAAGAGTTTCTATAACCTGTTTGTGCAAAACATAGGTTATGGTATGTTCAATTATTATTCCACCAACCCTTCACATGATTGGATTGGATTAAGCGCCAACATCGCGTCCGCATTGGGCACGATTTTTTACCCACAAATTAGGATATTGCTCACTGAATGGTTATTAGGTGTGCATTTGACAATGAAATGGCGTCATGGTATGGAGGATGACCCCAATGTATGGTCATAGGATGGTAATGTGGATGGATGGATGCGCAAATGGCCAAATGGAATGGCCCATGCGTTAATTGGATGAATGATTAGATGGCATGGATGACCTGATCTGTATGAATGGCATGGCCATGGATGGATGGCATGGATCGGCAATTGGCCGCATCAACAATCAATGGTATGATGCGATGGTTATGGTATGTGATGAAATGGATTGGATGGTATGTGCATGGACCTCATATGGAGGTATTGGCTATTGCTCGATAGATCATGGCCAATCCTTCCATGGCCACCCATGATATGGATGGATTGGGATGGAATGGTATAAGGATCGGCATGGATGGAGGCGCTGGCCCATAAGGATGGATAACTATGGCTCATATTTTTATATTGACCCCCAATATATATATGGATTTTAACACCACCCACCTCCATCTATTATTAATTCTGGATTTTTATCCCCAGGAGGGGGGTTTGCCAACCCACCTTGGGTATACGTCCCCGTGGGCTATATTAACTAACATACCAACGCATATCTGGGGCAAAAAACTAATGAACCATACCCCCTCCAACCATCCCCACGGGGCACCATACTAACCCCTAAAAAAACCCAAATCCACCCTCTCCGGCCCTATCAATACCACCCAAGACTGCCCCCGAAGCGCTTTAACCTCCGCGAGGTGGCCAAATAACAAATGGATTTATGTTCATTTATTAGTACAACGCCAACCCAACCATTCCCCCCATTCACAAATGAAACTCCCCAAAAATACCTCCACACGGCCACAAATACTTTTCCCCCCATAGGGGCAACCATACCTTTAGGAATTAGGCAAGTGTCGAATGACACATGGAATAGGATGGCATATGGTGTACGATGGATGGCAATAGGATGGATGGTAGATGGAATGGTCTATGGATGGATGGATGAATGATTGATGCGCATGAATGAATGATTGGCATGATGATGGGGATGGGGATGACTGGATGACCATGTAATGATATGCCCATGGAACGGATAAACGAATGTATGAACAATGGACTGGTAAATGAATGGTATGGAGATGAAGGATTGATGTTATGAATGGATGGATGATGGATGAATGAATGGTATTTGAATATGGTATGGATGGTGCCGTATGGATGGATTAAATGAATGAAAAGGCATGGGGACAGCATGAATTGAATGGATGGAGGCATGCCATGCATGCAGCCCGTAGCCAGGGCGTTCGGCGGCGTTTGAACGAACCCCCCCCCGAGCCCCCTCCCCAAGCAAACAATATTTACTTTTTTTTTAATTGCCAAGAATTTCACCTCAGTGGCTCCAGTTTTAGTGTAATTATATTGCAAAATCTCCATCGGTGCGTGAGCGGTGAACCAGTGGAACACCCCCTCCCTCACACCCTCCCATCCGCTCTGTCGCTTGGGTCCCTCGCCTGTCCGCGTCGCTCGCCGCAACGAGCAAGGGCGATGCATACAGGGGGGATCCAGGAGATCCGGACCCCCCTTGTTCGCGCACTAGAAAACGCCATCTGAGGGGTTTCTAATTAAAAAAATTCTGGGGAGGGCGCCCCAGACCCTCCCTTCGCGTCGCTCGCCAACTTATGGGTTACGGTTAGACCCCCCCTGGTACAACATCCTGTACACGCCCTGCGCAGTCATAATTCGCCAACATTGAGACAAACGAAACCCCCCCCCAATACCTAAAAGCTTGGCTACGCGGGCCTGTGCATGCAATACATTGATTTGGTGGGAGGATAGCAGAGCTGGTATGGATGCTAGGATCAGATTGCGTGGGAGATAGAGGTGATGGATGGATATATGTTGAGCAGGCCGTATGAGGACTACCAAATGACTAAAATACCTTACTACCAAATCTGCTGCTATGTACCATGTCCTCACTGGGCGTTCACCATGCTGCAGACTTACCTAGGCTAAAATACCTTTGCCCAAGAAAATTTCTAGGGGGGCGGGCGACCGCCCCGTGCTAGCGACCTTTATCTTACCCGTTAACATACTACAGCACTGTGAATCATCTCCTCCTGAAATTTGTACAAAACGCCTAATATTTTACTGACGAACGTTAAAAACTGCAAAACAAAGATGAGTCAATTCTAAATCAACCAGATTGAACCAAAAAGGCATATTTTTCACCCCTTATACAAATCGGAAAATGACTTCTGCGTCGGCGTTCTCAGCACCCCATCCCCCCTCCCCAAAGTGAGATCTGAAAATTGACCATTTTCCCATTCAATCCCCCGTAAAATCAACCTATCCCAACTCTCAATAGGTGCTATTCTATTTTTGTAATAAAGAGCGCGGTCGTAGTGACGCCCACAAAAAGTGCCACTGCCAAAAATGTATCAATCGGGCGGGGTCCTGGCGGTGGTACTCCCCAGACAAAATTGTGAAAATGTAGCCTGGAAATGGCATTTCTGCATTTTCCAGCGCTATGTGAAAGGCAACACATTCTGATCATTTTAAAAGGCAGGTTATTTGTAAATTTCAATAGAGGATAATATGTAGCTAAAGCTGATGTTTTGTGACTTAACAAAGTATCTAAATATATTATTTATTGATATGATAATAACTAAATAAAACATTATTTACAAAATTTATATACCTATCAGCGTACATTAATTTTGAAATATAAGCCTATTTTGCAATTCGGCATTCTTACGTTCACTATGTTACGATTCTGTATGTTTTGAAGTTTGAATTTGAATAGCCCACATTTTCATATTAGATACACATTCCAGGCATATATTTTTTTCATATAGTCTACCACGGCCAGTAGCCGGTTGCTGCCTGGCTGCCATTCACGCCCTAAAAAACGCATAAGAAAAAACTATTAACCTTTCGTGAGCAGTGATAAGACTGGGGATTTGAAAAAAAAAATCGTATATCGTGGAATGCGGTCCAAAATTAACTTCCTGATTTCAGCGTAAAAATACATGTCATTCTGGAACGAGTTACAAGCCCTTATACAGTAGATGGTATGTCCACGTCTCCATTTCTGTCTATAATCATTAGAGGGAGTACTATGTAATAGCGATGACGGATTTGTGGATAAATGATCATGCCAGACTTTATTGTGCTGCAAAATATTAAATTAATTTCCCCATTTTCTTTCCTGAAGAGTAGGCGGGCGGATGAAAAGCCACCCCGCTCAATAAGTGTTGGGGCGTGCGAATACCCCCCTCCCCCGCTATCTACGCCACCTGTCAGATGAACTCCAATTTGACCCTCTTGATATGCATACAAAATACAATAATTCAGAATCATAATCTTTTGTTAGCCAGTTATTAGCGGGACTCTACGTCTACAGCGCCGCCGAACATTTGTTCAATCGGCTAGGCTGCCTCAATTGTGTTAGGTGCTCGCACAGTGCCCGATATGCAGGTTTCGAGAAGGGTGGTAAGAAACAGGCGGGGTATTGCGGTTCCTCCCCCCAGAAAATGTTGACATCCCCCAAAATTTCCTCCTGGAAGTAGGAAGGGGAGCGCGGATTAATTGTACACGCCTGGCGGGGCACCACTTCAATAAGCTCGGGGATGCATATCCCCCCCCCCTTCGCTATCTACGGCCGCCTGTCGGCAATAATAGCGCTGAAGAGTATGTATAAGAATACATTAAGACTTTGCGTAGAAAATAGATTTCGTATTTATTTAGCATTCTATTTTATTGAAACGCTCCAAGTGGCTGTGGCTGTGGTCTCCATCCTTTCGAAGAAGAGCAGACACATAAAGTCGTGACGTCACAGGACGTCATCATATTAGCAGGTAACTGCGTTTTATATTAAACACGCGCGGATTGGTCAGACTGGCTTAAGTAGTAATCTATCGGCGCATAATAACCGAAGTTACAAGTTCCTGTTAGAAGTGTTCCTCGTGGTATTTTAGCGAGATGGTTTGTATACATAATAGTTAATACAGTTTCTCTAAAACAGTGAAAACGTGTAAGATGTAAACAGTATAAAGGACAAGCCTTAAATATACATATGGCATACATGTATGCGCATGTAATAGTAAAAAAACACTCATATATTACTAATCTAAAACGACGATTTTTAACTGTAGTCTGTACTGTAGACTAGTACTACTAGTAGTACATCTAAATCACTAATCAGTATTCACTGAATACTGATTAGTGATTTAGATGTACTACAGTAATGTCGGGGCGGTGATATGTCTTAACGCACTAAAAACAATAATACCGTAATTACGTATTAGTATTACGTAGTATAAGTAATCAGTACCATGCTGGAAGTTCCATTTTGAGTAACGTAAGACTGAGAGTGATGTAACTTGGAGTGTAACTAAGGCTCATACTCATAGGCCATGTCCCCCCAGGGTACTGTCGGAACGTACCCTGGTCACTATTTGATATGGTTAGGGTTCGGGTGGGGGAAAAGGGAGGGGAAACTAGGGTGGTCCGGGGGGCGTGTTTTTTTACCGTACCACTAATTAATGCGTAAAATCGCCACTACACCTATTATTGACCCGGTATTTTGGGGTACTTGCCTATATATAAGCATAGCGGGAGCCTGTCACCAGTGTTGGTGTTGGGTTTGCGACAGGCTTGGCTGTTTCTACTTGTGCTGTGGTCTGGCAGTGCATCGCAGGCTATAGGTGTAGGACGTAATTACGCATAGTGGATATGAGTAAAAATCACGCGTTTTGGGGTCCCCTGAATTCAGAATGGGAATTTCTTGACCCATCGAATCGATTCGCGGGCGCTGTCAAACTTTTATATGTCGTGGAATTTAATTGCGGCGGAGCGTAATTTAAACGGGGCGCAACGATTGAAACGTGGGGTGAGTTTTGCCAAACGGCTTCTGCGGTGGCTATCACCTGGCATTGCCGCCGGTTTGCGCAACGTAGGGAGGGGCCTGGCATCCCATTCTCATTTCCCTGTTGTTACTCAGCCGAGTCTAGAAGTTTCGCTCCCTACTTCTTTAGGAATTTACTCAGGCTACAGCCCTGCTTGTGAACTGCACTGAACCCTAGCGGTCTCTGTCTTTCAGGTGCACATGTACGCGTTGTTTGAGCATGCGGCGGGCTACGCCCTGTTCCGCGTGAAGGAGATGGAGGAGATCGGCATGACGATACCGAGTGTGGAGGCGACGGTCACCGACATCAGCAAGTTTAACTCGATTGTGAAGCTCATCGCGTTCTCTCCATTCAAGAGCGGCACGAACGCGCTGGACAACATGAACAGCGTGTCCGAAGGTACCGCTGACGCGCGGCTGATGGGCTCGTGTTGCACGCACACGTTGTCAGTGGTAATGTTTTGCCTGGTGCGGTGCAAAATCCACTGTCATCCAGTAGTGTGAAGCACATGGCAGTGTAATAACAGCAGCAGCTATAGTCCGGTGGGCAACGTGACTACGATGTATTATGCATTTAATCGGTGATTGTGAGGGATCTAGTTTTATACTGTAGCGTTGATTTTCAAGGTCCCCCCAAAACATTGTTTCCCGAACAACCAGATGAGAATTATTTTGTATATTTATAAGTTGTTCCTACAGGGCTGCTGCACGAAGAGTTCACATGTTCAATCACATATAAACACATCTGTATATGTGTATATATATATATATATATATATATATTCTTTTTATTTATTTATATATCTTGTTCCTGCAAGGATGCTTCTTGAAGACCTGCACTTGTTCAATCACATATAAACACATATTATATTATATACATACATATATATATTATATAGACAGGGTGCGAAATTAACGCGAGTCCGGAGTCAAATACTCCCTGATTTACTGTCGGACTCCCTCATTTGACATTGGCAGGAGTCCGTGTGACTCCCTGAAAATTCTGTTGTACAAATTAGTAGTAGTTTGTTCCAGAGGAAGGCCTCGCAGAATTACCCTATTTTTTCAGCAAATGTCCAAAGAAAATTATTTGGCAGACGTGCATGGCAATATTCTTCAAAACAAGCACATGTGTTATTGCTGCTATGCTTTAGTTTTGAACTTCAGACTGCGGACTCTTTTTGAGGGCAGGGAGTTTGTTGGACTCCCGTGTTCAAAAGTTAATTTCTATCCCTGTATAGACGTTTGTATATATATTTATTTATTTATTAATTAATTTACATATCTTGTTCCTGCAGGAGTGATGCATGAAGACCTGCACTTGTTCCTCGAGACGAACATGCCGAAGCCGGGCGAGAAGAAGAGCGCGCCGCTAGCCGTCGGCGACGCCAAGCTGGGCGCGGCCTGTGCTCGCAGAGCGCTCGGCCTGCCGTGCACGTTCACGGGCATCGCGCCCGATCGATTCCGCTGCGAGTGTGAGCAGCAGTTCTTTATTATTTTCTTGTTTTTTTTTAGCTTATTCCTAATCTTTCATTACTGTTTATTTTTTTATTATATTTTTAGCCTCATCTGACATTAGCTCAGATGCAGCTTGTGTAGAATCGGCATTATCGTCCGTCCGGTGTGTCCGGGTCGTCCTTCCGTCCGTTCCGTCCGTCAACGTTGGCGCCACAAATCTTAACCGCTCGACGCTTACGCGTCACGTATTCGCGGTCGGTTGGGGGGGATCATAAACGAGTGCGGATGTCGAAGTTGGGGTCAAAGGTCTAAAGGTCAAGAGGTGTAAAGAAGGGGGAACATTCACTCCTTAACTTAAGGTTATAGGGATGGAAAGCCAGAATTGTCGGCACAAATCTAAAGCGGCTCGAGCTAGGGCTCGTGACAGTCGGCGTGTCATGCATTCATGTAGTGAAAGCCATCACTGCTGCCGAAATTGCCGAGCACGTCACAGGTCAAAGGTGCAATGGGCCACAGGGCAGATTTTTAGACATTTTTTGAGGACCATGGTCTGACGGAGCGATTGAGGAAACTTTTTGTTTCAGCGCGTGACCTAGCATTTTTATTGGCCTTTATTAAAAGGACATGAAATATGCCCTTCTGCTGACAATGCGAAGCAGTTAAGTGTCGGAATAACTTTGACCCTCAAGAGGAGGGGTTACATTGGATTTGTTGCTGCTTAACCAAAGAGCTGAAACTGCTTTTGCTTATTAGAGCCCCCTCCCCACCTCCCCCTTCCCCCTTCCCCCACCCCTTTTCCCACCTTCCCCACCCCCTCCCCCACCCTCCCCTACCCTCCATCTGCGATTAGTGCGGCGTGTTTCCTAACAATGATGTTGTACACGCAACTGCGTGTCTGCCATATCTGCTTCCTAAAATGTCGGTTACTACGCAACGACTGAATATTTTACGTTTATAATCGTAGCAACGACTCAGATGAGGCCAGACGCCTCTGCGGCTCTTGTTTTTTTATTACTTTATTTTTTTTATTCGTTTTTTAGCTAGGGGTGGGGCCGGGGGTATCGAAAACGGGGGGAAAAAAATAAAGACTTGGGATGTCGAAGCTGCGGGCGGTTCAAGGTCAAAGAGTCAAGAGGTGTTAAAGATAGGGGACATTTCGCTTCTTAACTTACGGTAAATGGCAGGCGAAACTGCCAGAATTGCGGCACAACAATCTACACGGTCGATCTTAGGTCGTGATAGTCGGTGTATAGCCATCCATGAGGTAGGAAAGCCATCACTGTGACCGAAATGTGTAGGTCACAAGGTCAAAGTCAATGCGGGCCCACAGGGCCAGCATTTTCGACTTTTCTGAGCGACATGGTCTGACGGAGCGATTGAAAAACTTTTTTTGTTTCAGCGCGTGACCTAGCATTTATGGCTTTATTGGAAAGGACCATGACAATGTACTTTCCAGACTACATGGCGAGAGTAAGGCGGTCTGATAACACTTTTTGACCTGAAAGGGAGCGATCACATGGATTTTGTTGACTGTTAACAAAGGACTGAACTGCTTTTGCTATTATTAGAGCCCATACCTGTGTGAATGTCAGGCTACAGTTGCACAGTTTAATTGCAAAGGCCAATGTTTGTTGAACGAGGTTTACGCTCCTTAAATCATATTATTTTCTAAAGCAGTGTCTATAGCACCGTGAAGGCTGAATCAGTGAATGCTCGTGTGGGTAGGCAAAAACACAGGGCAGCCCATGGCTGGCATGCTTCTATTCATAATTGTTGCTTGCCAACCTGCAATGCACATGTGTCTGCAATGCATAGAGATTAAGTGGGTGCGAAAGTGTAGCTGATATATTTGTTCCAATTGGCTACGAAAGTCAAACAAGAATAAAGAAGACTTATGTATAAGACGTCTTGCTATGCACAAATGAATTTATCAGCAGAACACCAGACACCAGATGAGCCTTGTCGAACTGCAGCACTTGTTTTCTATTTATTTTTTCCCCATTATTTCCAGGCATCAGGTACAACTTCCACCACCTGGTGAAGGGCTTCACGAGGGAGACGGCGTCAAAGGCGCAGCTCGGACTCGGGCACAGCTACTCACGCGGCCGCGTGAAGTTTAACGTCAACCGCGTCGACAACATGATCATACAGGCGATCAGCCTCATCGATCAGCTCGACAAGGACATCAACACCTTCTCCATGCGCATCAGGTACAGCGCATGCTGCAAGCTAGTCGCTCTCGTTAGCCCCGCACGCATCTAGCGCATCTGGGGCCGGTTTCACGAAGCGTGATTAACTTTAATTATGATTAAATCACTAATCATACTTAACCTCCTGTAATTATGATTAGTTAATCATACTTAAAAATCTGTTTCACGAAGCGATTTAAGTACATATTTAACTAATTACATAATTAGCCGACTTAAACATGAATTACACTGTATTCAAAATTGCGGACAACGCCAAAAGTATCTGCAAATTCTGTACATGAAAAGGAATTAATTTGAAATTATAATGACTAAATTAGTACAGCTAATCTTAGATAATTTAAATTTCCTTGGGAAAAAATTGAAGTAAAATTTCCTGCATCATACTTAATATACTAGTACTAACTACATACTACTTCTAGTACTAGCAACTAATTATGATTTGTGGATTTAATCATGCTCCTGAGTAGAATTAAATATTGTGATTAACTTAGTCATGATTAAAATTAATTACGCTTCGTGAAACAGTCACTTCAATTTAAGTACGGGAAGTTCATCATGATTAGTGATTTAATCATGATTACATACTTAAGTACGCTTCGTGAAACCGGCCCCAGGTACGCAGGCTGCAGGCTAGTCGCCCGTTAGAGCCGCACGCGTCTAGCGCATCAGCGCGCTACGACGGCGCTGGCGAGTCGTATGCGCTCTCGGCGCCTCCTTCCGGGCCATTCTAGCGCATCAGGCAGCCCGGAGCGCCGACCGCCCGCCGGGCCGGTACGCAGGCTGCAGGCTAGTTGTTCATTAGCGCCTATCGCATCAGGTACGCAGGCTGCAGGCTAGTTGTTCATTAGCGCCTATCGCATCAGGTACGCAGGCTGCAGGCTAGTTGCCTCCGCGGGCGCCCGCCGCCGCCGATTAGCGGCACTCCTACCCCGTGCCCACCCGTCGGGTCCACGCAGGCCCTGCAGCAGGGCGGCCCAGCGTGGCCGTTCCATGTACCGCCGCCCTATCCGCATCACGTACCGCAGGCTCAGGCCTAGTTGTTCTCACTTCATTAGCGCCCCTATCCGATTCAGGTCACGCAGGCTCGCAGGCTAGTTGCTTCATTACCGCATCGCGCATCAGGTACGGCAGTGCGCTGCAGGCTAGTCTGTTCATTAGCGCCCGTATCGCCCATCAGCTCACGCAGGCTGCAGGCAGCTTGCTTCATTAGCGCCCTATTGCGCATCAGCTACGCAGCTGCACGCTAGTTGCTCCCATTAGCATCTAGCCGCATCAGGTACGCCAGCCGCTGCAGGCTAGTTGCTTCATTAGCCGCCTATCGATCAGGGTACGCAAGGCCTGCCGGCTAGCCCTTGCTCCATACTGAGCATCCTAGCGCATCAGTCGTCACGCTAGGCTGCAGGGCTACGCGTTGCCTTCATTAGTGCCCCCTATCGCATCAGCGTACGCAGGCCCTGCAGCCTGTTTCGATCCCATGACCATCGCGCCGCCACAAACTGGCTCATTAGGGTCACAGCCGGTGCGTGGCTTCCGAACTGCTAGCGCGCAGGCTAGCTCCTCTAACAACGTTCCGCGCGCAATCACGGAGTCAACCCGTTCCCCCCTTGCGCGAACAATCAAAACTCACCCGCCGGACACGCAAGTCATCTCCGTAGGATAAATTATTGGTGTTTGTTAACTTGATTTTCCAACTGATGGCAGGCACTACATATACCTATAAAATTAAACAGGGACAGTCTATATTACCCCAGTCTTACATGAACTTAAGGCAATTAACAATGCCTCTACCGCTTGATTCTCGAACGTGCAATGAAATTCATGAGTTTGCAGACTCAATCGTAAATTTGCTAAAACCTAGAACGCCGTAAGACGTAGCAAGGCGTAGATCGCAAACAAGGTTTGTTTACCGTTTTCCTAAGCGGTATAATAATATAGCTAACTGCCTGTAGTATATAAAATATTCACAATGTATTTTGCATGCCTAGAAAACAAAACAACGCGTTCATTCCCTTACCCCGCCTTCCTCCCTCTCCCAGCCTTCCCGAAAATCCAGCGACCAGGGGCGGCTAGCGTGCATTGCTTGAACACTGACAGCGTTGAAACGCTGTTAACATTAGCCGGAGGACATAGCTGCCTCAGTTAGCACAGTGGACGGCTGGCCTTGTTAGTACTGCCGCCTCCACTAGCTTTAACGACAGGTATGGCCTATCTCCATTAACATCGGGATGGCTAAGCCTTGTTAGTATGTTGTATGGGCTGTGGATGCTCTCGGTATGTCAGTATGGGCTATCTCCGTTGAATATCAGGTACGTGACGCACGAGCTGTCACTTACGCAGCATAACGCGTCTATTCCCCTGCGCCTCTTTGCCTGGCTCGTTTAAGCTATTCTGACTAATATAATATAATATATATATATATATATATATATATCATATATATATATATATATATATATATAAATATATCAGGCGTTCAGGCAGTTAGTCAGCAAATAGCTAAACGAGCCAGGTCAAACAGAGGTCAGGGGACATAGACCCTACGAGCGTCACTTACAGCACAGTCACATGTGCACGAGGGTGTGGCAGTGACCACTTCAGCGTCACGCAGGCCGCTTCTTGCTGGCCGTGTGAGAAAAGACACCAACTCGTTTCAGTCGGTCGATTGCGATTGCATCGACGCGCGTGATTTCGAAACGACGCAACGTGCAAAAAAACCTCGCAATGTTTTGCAGAGAGTGGTACTCGTACCACTTCCCGGAGCTGGTGAAGATCGTTAACGACAACTACCTGTACGCGAAGATTGTGCGCTGCATCAAGGACCGCATGCAGCTTACCGACGACATCGTTGCCAGCATGGAGGAGATCTTACAGGACAGCGCCAAGGCGCAGGCGATCATGGACGCGTCCAAGTCCTCCATGGGTGAGCGACGTTTATCACATCGGACACAACGTCTCTCTCTAGATTTTCTGGGATTTTTTTTACGCAGTGGCTACGCGTCCGGTCGTCAAGAGCTCATAATAGAGTAAATAGAGTAAAAGGTAAAGTTTGAATATATTTATTCACATATTGATAGAATATTTACAAGTTGAAAACTATGCAAAACGGTGTCATACTCTTCTCTATTATGAGCTCTTGCCGGTCGTCCATTACAAAGCTCAGCACAGATTCCCAAATCCACGTCACGATTAGGCTATGCCCCCTTTTAAATCATTGATTTTACTGGATTTACTATTGCTTCAAATGTTACAAAAACACATTTTTTTGATAAAATACCTAAAATAGCTAAATACGCTTCGTGCGCAGAAGTTATGATATTTGATATGCGTACGGTGTCATATCTGTTTGTGATGTGTTTGTGTCGTCGGTCGACGCTTATCGTTCGTAGATTCATGAGCAGTTATAGGCAACGACCCGGTCGGGGTCTTGTGTGTTTACTGTCAGATGAGTCGGATTACCCTTCGTTGGTGTGGGATACCTTCACACGTTTGAAACTGAGAATCCGATGAGTTGTTCGAAGAGCGTGTGATTTGAGGTTTGTAGGCCATGTGGGTGAATATTGATAGAGGAGGTGACGCGTCATTGTGTAGGGGTGGAACGAATCATTGATGTATCGATGTATCGCAATACACAACGATACCTTGACGAGACACGTATCAATACTCTACTGACAACTGAATAAAAATCATATAATTTAGCAGTGTAGTTTCATCCAAAAATAATCATAACACAATTTGCAATTCAATAACAGTTGTTTACTAATCCCTCCACGATACCGATTTGTAAGCATTCACATGATTGGTAAAATCCTGGTTGAGTGTATAGTTTGCTAGGTAGTTTCTCTTGAAAGTATCGCGATACGTATGTTGGATATTTATAACTCTGGGGCTCGTTGTCAGAAAGAAAATTGGTTATAACATTGGTCTTAACACAACATTTTATGTTATCGTAGACCGTTGACAGAATCATGTTTCGAAAGGTATGACGAAATTTGCTAGGATTTGGCATTCAGGATTTGGTATTGTAACTTCATGAGTCGGCAAACAGTCTAAGAGAAAAAGGTAACATTAGGACTAATGTTAAGATTAATTGTATTTCTGACAACAGAGTCCCTGATAATATATACATCGGTGTGGGTGTATGCGTGCGCACGCGGTAATACCGTTTTAACGCGCTGGTGCGATTGCTAGGCATGGACATCTCTCCGATCGACTTGATCAACATCGAGAGGTTTGCGGGCCGCGTCATCGCACTGGCTGAGTATAGGCAGACGCTGCAGCAGTATCTCATCAGCAAGATGGACGCCTGTGCTCCCAACCTCGCGGCCCTCATCGGAGAGATGGTGAGTGCTGCCCCTTGTTAATCGATACGTCCGTCGGAGCGAGATGACCACGCTCGCGTCCTTGGATGTCTTTGTTAAGTCGGACAAGCTAGACCGGTTTATACGCGTTACGTCGAACGTCGACTCTGCGGCACTTTGTTGCCAAGCATTGTCTTTTAGAACGTTATATTGCGGCAGTGATTGGTCTGAGCTGCCGGGCAGTTACGCCAGGCAGTTAGCTCAGTTCAAGGATCCGTGTTGCGACTGTATATATAGAGTTGTGGTTTTTGTTCACCTTGCTTAAGCTGTGGACACACTAGGCGATCTTTCAGCGCGATTCATCGGCGATTTATCTCCCCCTATAACACTAAAACACTCGCTCCACCTAGATTGATTGTCACATGATCATGGGTAGAAATTAACTTGTGAACAATTAAGGGAGTCCAACGGACTCCCTGCCCTCAAAAAGAGGGAGTCCGCAGCAAAATGAGGCAGTCTGCAGTCTGAAGTTCAAAATTAAAGATACACAATAAATTAAGTCAATAACGCACGTGCGTTTTTGGAAGATTCATGCAGTTGCACGTCTGCCAAATTTGCTTTGGACATTTGCTGAAAAACTACGGCAATTTCGCGAGGCCGTGCTCTGGAACGAACAAGTTAGTATAGCAGAATTTTCAGGGAGTCTCACGGACTCCTGCATATGTCAAATCAGGGAGTCCGACAGTAAATCGGGGAGTATTTGACTCCGGACTCGCATGAATTTCGCACCCTGCATGATTGAAAATGGCACCGTTTGATTGGCTGATGAATTGTACAATCGGGCGACTCAGTCGCCGACTCACTGGACACACTAGGCGATTTTTCAGGCGATTGAGTTGCCCGACTCAGTCGCCTGAAAAATCACCTAGTGTGTCCACAGCTTTAGTTGCCACACCTGAATTCGGGTGTAGCGGTGGTTTAACTCTATCCTTGGCCTCTATTAATGGTTTCCGACCGTCGTTTTCATCTTCATTGCGAGTCTGTGTGATTGGTTTTCGCTACATTCAGCCATTGCTTGTGCTACAGGTGGGCGCACGTCTGATCTCGCATGCCGGCAGCCTGACGAACCTGGCAAAGTACCCGGCATCCACCGTGCAGATTCTCGGAGCGGAGAAGGCTCTATTCCGGTAATGACTGTTGTGTAGAGCACAGACGTGGCCTGAATATCTAGTGCGCGTGTGTATGCGTGAATTGGTGGGTACGTGCATTGATATGTACGTGGCTGGATGCGTGAATTGGTGGGTACGTGCACTGATATGTACGTGGCTGGATGCGTGAATTGGTGGGTACGTGCATTGATATGTACGTGGCTGGACGCGTGCATGGATGTGTAAGTGCATGCGTACAGTGATGCGTGAGTAAGTGAGTGTGTGGTTACCATATATTGGTTTCGTAATATGACGTTCTGTACATGTAAAATATGCTTTGAAGCTTTTGGTTGTCATAAATAGTTGCCTTTCTTAAAATTAGTTATCTGAGATATAGTTTTTACATCTATGCATTATGTCAATTCTATTGACCGATATTGCAAACGTAAATAGCAATAGATACGGTTGCATTTCTCACTCAGTGCTTTGAAGACCAAAGGAAACACACCTAAGTACGGGCTGATTTTCCATTCCTCCTTCATCGGTCGAGCTGGCGCCAAGAACAAAGGAAGGATATCCCGATACCTAGCGAACAAGTGTTCCATTGCATCTAGGATTGACTGCTTCTCTGGTGCGTACATGTGTGCGTGCGTGCGTGCATGTGCGTGCATGTGCGTTGTGTGTGTGCATACCTTAAGGTTTAATAATGTTGCTATTCTATTGGAGTATGAGTGTTTTAACACTCACAGTGTACCGTGTCATGGTTTGTGCTGATGAAGTGTCGCAGAAAAGTGCGTGTTTGCTGCCTATGTAGCGTGTGTTCATAACGTGATGAATCCAGTCTTTAATTGTCAACCGTCAACAGCCTGAATGCAATGATGTCAGTGAAACACTTCCGAAGGTCGTATGGGGCGTGTGGTGGAAATAGGCAAGCCCAAGTAAACGCGATGAAATGCGTATAATGGAGGCTAGAACATTCCCTACAATGTGCAGATCCGCTGCCCTACAACCTCATATTACGTAGATTTGACGAGCTTATCGCTTGATCACCTGTCGAGCTCAGCACGAACTACAAGGAGAAAATGTTTGTGAAACCTGAAACCCTGCGGAGTGATATTTTAGTTGATGTTTATTAGTTTTTTTGTTTGTTTGTTTGTTTTTTTGATAGAAATTCCGACGACGGTTTACGGAGACATGATGAAGCAGCAGGTGGAAGACCGGCTCACGTTCTATGAGACAGGCGAAGCGCCGCGGAAGAATGTTGACGTCATGCACGAGGCAGTGGGAAAGGTAGGTGCAGCGACATGGCTGCATGGTGTCAGTCTATGTCCGAGTGGGCCCGCCGTGTGTGGTATGCTGTGGCGGCAGCGCTGCTGGAAATTCATTATATGGGCAATCATGTACAGCAAGTCTCTGATGAAAAGTTATTAACGATGATTGGGCTTTTCAAGGTCGTAATCTTGTGGTTATATAGTACAGGGGCCTGTTGTTGGTCACAGAGGTATAGGTATATGTTGTATATAGTGTATGATATCGTAACATTTGCATAACACTTCGTCTTAGACTTACAGTGGCTTTACTGTTTATTGCTCTGACAATGAGGCGCCCAGCCATGTCAAGTTACGTAGGGAGGCTTCTTGTATGTTCGTTAGTGTCTGACATTATGTAATCACTGTGTCCCACCTCGCGCAGGCGACTGAGGTAGCCAAGAAGATCGCCAAGAAGCGGAAGAAGATGGCGAAGAAGCAACAGAATGGCGTAGATGCAGAGGAGCCGACGAAGAAGAAGGTCAAGAAGGAGAAGGGTGTGGACGTGTCGATGATGGACACCTCACAGGAGCAAGCCACACCCGCCAAGAAGAAGAAGAAGAAGATGGGTGGAGATTCCACGTTAGATTCATCTAAGTTGGATGAGACCTTATCGGCGAAGAAGAGCATGAAGAAGAAGAAGAAGACGCTGGCTGCCTGACGTGGAGCATTGTCATTTTATAGTACTGGTGTGCAAAGAAGATATGTTGATTTTGGCAGGAGTACGTTAACTTAACATTAGCAGTACACGGTGATTGTACTTTTGGTGTACATAAACTATAGTATTGAAGAGTAATATCAGCACGATATGCTGGCGATGAACAGATTTAATACGCTGCAGGTGAAGTGTAATTGTTAAAATGTTCAGCTTGGTAAGCTAGAGCAATTTCATTCACTTGCTGTCTAGTAGTATGTGCAAATCCATTTTAAATAAATTGTCATCACATGTATTACTGAGTGTGACACAGCCACACAAGGTGGGATTTTTTGATTGATGTGTGAAATTTTTTCATTTTATGGATATTGAAAATTAGAAGAGAAATGTCAGCGATAAAATTATCAATAATAATGTGTCGGAATCGTATTTAGATAAGCTAAAAAGAACCCTGCGGAACGTTGGGTCATATATCGAAGGGTTTTACGAAAAGTGAAAAGTGACCAAGATAAAGAAACCAAATGTGCTCAGCGTTGTTGCAGTTGGCATTTAAATTTTAATAAAATCATGAAAAGTCACAAATGTCTTGTGCTATTATATTATGATCCGACGTCTCTGATCACCAGTAGTGTACGTGTCTACACCTACAACCCTCCCCGCTATACATCCCCTCCTAAGCGTATATATTGTTGCTGTTAAGAATGTCTTTCATGAATTGAGACTCAAACAAACTGGCACTTTAATTCAATGTACATTTCTGGTTCTATATATGATCATGTAGTTCACATATTTACAACTATTAGTATTATGGACCGTTTTCATGCACAGGTACCCACTTTCACACGGAAAATGGCATTTCCATTACTCAACCAAACGCTCAAAATCACGGCAAGTTTATTATAGTAAATTATAGTAAAGTATATTATAGTATAGTATGGAGATCGCCACTGTCAAATACTGTCACGTACATAGTCTTCGTTATTCCCTTGTATCAAACCGTGTCACTTCGTCTTAGTTATTTCGCCAGTGGTACGCCCATGCAGCGACCACCTGCCTCGTAAGCGTTTTAGCTCATCGCCACACGCGGTGTGAATGGTCCTTTACGAACTACGAACACCGTTTTACACAACATTGAGCAGCGCTACGCGATTAGTAGCTGCCGTGAGTCTTCTCATGATGTCGACAGGTCTAACGGATAGTAGACATAAGTTGCGTCACCAATAGTTGGCCGACTCACGTATTGACACTACGTCATCAGTAGTTACAACGGGCAACGTGGGTCTTCTCCTGTTGTCGGCGGGGCTGACGCAGGTACTGATGCGTACTACGTCATCATCAGTAGTTGCAATGGGCAACGTGGGTCTTCTCCTGTCGTCGGCGTGGCTGACGCAAGTACCGACACTGCTGCAGCTCCTTCCAGTCAACTTCCATCGTCTGCTTGGCTGCAGACGAGGCAGGCTTCGGTCCGAATCCCGTTCTCACAGGCAGCGGCTTGCTCTGCTTGTGCAGCGGAGGGAGGAGGAGAGGTGGAAGCCTGAGCGGGGGCTCCGTCTCCTCCTCTATTGCCGCCGCCGCCGGGCCGCCGACGCTCGAGCGTCTGCGCAGTCGCGGGATTGGCTGCGCGTACACGCGGCTGCTGCGCCGCTGCCGGCCACCATCCCTCCTGCCCTCCATCGCTGCGCCGGTGGCGCCCTCTGACGACGCCAGCTGCATGAAGTTGTAGATCTTCAGCTGCTCGTCATCCATGCGCGCGGGGTCGGTGGTCGCCGCGACGGCGGCGCCACCGTCGTCATCGTCGTCGGCCGACGTCACGAGGATCGTCGGCACGTCGATGACGCTTGTGCGATGATCCGCCCCACGGACGACGCACGTGCCGCTGCTCAGCGCGCTCTCCCAGCTCGCGCAGCGCCCCGGCGGCATCGGCGACATTGACGCGCAGCAGCCGTAGCGCGACACGCTGGCTCGGCGCGAGGCGCCGCCCATCGGCCAGCTGTACTGGCTGTCGGTGCTCGTCTTCCGGCTAGGGCAGGTCGACGACGACGCTGCCGCCAGGTCGTCGAACGCCAGCGCCATCTGCTGGGTGAGCAGCGCCATCTGCGACGTCTTGCGCTCGGCTTGCCGCTGCTCCTTCTGCAGCGTCACCTGGAGGCGGTCGAGCCCGCGGCGGAGGTCGGCCGAGTGCTTGCGGTGCAGCACCCCGCGCCAGTCGCCGTCGCGGATGCCCTGGCCGCGCATGAACGCCTGCACCTGCTCTCGGCTCTCCCCCGCACTAGTCTTACCGCCATGCTCGGTTACTGTCTTCCCGGCATGCTTGGCCGCCACCTTCCCGGCATGCCCCGTCATCGACATGGCCGCCGGTGCTGCTTTGATGCCCGTGGACGTCAGCGGACTTTCAGCATATCTGCTCGGTATATCTCTCGCGGCATGTCACCGTGGTTGCTGGTATGCAGTGTCACTGGTCGGTTGGCATCGCTGCCACAACGGTTCAGTTGTGTCGCTCTCGTCGAGTGACGATCATGTGACGAAACTTTGAGTCGCATATAACCTTGAAATTGCAAGGTGAGAGAGATGTTAAGATTAAACAGAGGGCTGTTGTCAGAAACATCACAAATAGTTATGAATATCATCAAGTCAAAAATGTCAACACTTTTGCTCGACACTTCGCATTCAAAATGTGTGATATTTTAGACTTGAGATGCCATACAACTCTATTTATATGATGTTTCTGACACTGGGCCCCAGACAAGCGGTTACGCTGATTTAGATGTGCGGATTTGGCACCAGTTAACTCGACCTACGCGGCGACCGGTGTCGACACATGGGTCGGGTTTGCCGGCAAGGCTAGTTCACTCAAGACCCGCAGATTTGCGTATGACGGGAAACAATCAGAGATACATACCCGGAACAGAAGTGAATGAAAACAAATTTGTTTTCTATTCACGCCTAATAATAACAATAATTAGTGGATAGATGTATATACACACACGCACACACACATATGTATAATGATCTCTTCCTCTTTGCATCTCACTCCAAATATCTATATCCATATATAACATAATAATATCCATAATAATCCATATATAACATGAATGATATAACATGAGGTATTATTAGCTCTTGATAATATGCTGCGCGGACGATGACTGAATGCCGTGAAATGTCGCGGCTTTCTTCATATATCATCATTAGCTCTTGATATCATTTTGGATTTTTCGCGTGAGAACAAAAAACAAGATACATGTTGCAATGTCGCAATCTTTCCGTGACGCTGTCACGGATCCTCAACGGAACCTGAAGCTCAAAATAGGCGTCTGCATAGACGCGCCAAGAGAGAGAGAGAGAGAGAGAGAGAGAGAGAGAGAGAGAGAGAGAGAGAGAGAGAGAGAGAGAGAGGTAATCGCAGGGCGTAACAGACGCGTGTTAAATGACAGCGATAAATCTGACATGGCGGAAAAAAGTCCGCCATGTTGCTTGCTAGGTAGTGGTTAAACGCAAAACCCGGCGTGCACGAGAGAACGGGCATTATAAATAAACAACTAATACTACTATCAATAGTAATAGCACTAACAACATTAACAACAACAACGACGACGACGACGACGACGACGACGACGACGACGACGACGA